GGCTCCCCGCTTATGCTAATGAAGCCCGGGAAATTCAAATCCCGGGCTTCATTAGCAAGTGCGGTATGCATACATTACCCTCCTAGTTCGAACTAGGAGGGTAGTGTAGACATACCCAGAGATACATTAGGGCATAAGCTTTGGAAGGTAAAACCCACTTCATTGGATGAATTGGAGTGGATTTACAGAGGCATGGGTACGGCTCCCCGCTTATGCTAATGAAGCCCGGGAAATTCAAATCCCGGGCTTCATTAGCAAGTGCGGTATGCATACATTACCCTCCTAGTTCGAACTAGGAGGGTAGTGTAGACATACCCAGAGATACATTAGGGCATAAGCTTTGGAAGGTAAAACCCACTTCATTGGATGAATTGGAGTGGATTTACAGAGGCATGGGTACCCTCTTTCTTTTGTTGTCCTTGTATATATCCATGCCTCTGTAAATCCACTCCAATTCATCCGATGAAGTGGGTTTTACCCACTTATATCCTAATAAATCTGTTACATTGCAGGGCAAAAGTTGAATTAAGATATGCAACTTCAGCTACGTCAATTGCGTAGCTGAAGTCAAAATAGCGCAATTCGGCTTTCAGCACTGTCTACACAGCAGGAAGTGGAAGGAAGAACACTCTTCCTCTAACTTCCCTTACTTCTCATAAAATGACAGTTACAGGAGTCGGAGTTAGAAGTCCTCCAGCGCGACATTATTTTGAAATAAGGGCTTGCTGTGTAGACGCGCATTTTGTTATTTCAGAATAACGTTAGTTATTCTGAAATAATGCTGCTGTATAGACGTGCCCGAAGATGCCACAGGACTCCTCATGGTTTTTGCAGATACAGACTAACCCAGCAACCCCTCTGAGACGTCTCAAAATCAGAGAGTTGAACTTCCTGTGATGAACAAGGCAAGAACCCAGCTGTGGCCGAAGGCCATGGCTGAGGGTCTAATACTGAAATCCATCATGGAGAGTGGGATACTGAGCCCCAAGGACATCATGTGAAACAATAGGATGGTCAGATGGGGGTGAGATTCAGCTATAGGCTCTCCTTGAAGAGGTGGATATTAGGAACAGAGGAGCAGATTTGCAAAGGTATTTAGGTGCCTAAAGATGCAGAGAAGGGCCTAGTCAAATTTTTCAAGCTCTGCAGTGTCTAATGCTCATTGGAACCCCCATTAGGCACCACATATAAGTACCTTGAATATCTAACTGATATGCAGCCCTGCTGGAGAGCAAACTGGACAGCCATTTTAGGGTTTGTGAGGAGGGGATGTCCAGATATTTACTATGATCCAGAGTGAGGAGCAGCCAAACATGGCCAACCGTCCCCAGAGTGTTGAATGTCTTTTGCCTCAGCCATTAAGGCGGACAACTCGCAAAGGGAGCTGGGCGTGATACCACGAGGAGATCTCATGTTGGCTCTAGAAGTCATTTTTTTCCTGAGCCTGAATTTCATTAGCGTTGCCTTTGCCGAGTTGAATCTTCTCTGCAGCGAATTGGTCATGCCTCTCAGGGTTGAAATCAGGCAGCTGTTTGTACTTGTCCTTTTCTGATCAAAAACATCTGGAAAAAAATGTACCCAAGAAAAAAGAGAAGAAAGGAACCTCCCCTCACTTCGTACTGACAACGTGGCAACCGCTCTGTGCGCTCCGCTCTGGCCTCAAGCTAAATCCTCCTCTAAGGAGAACCAAATGACAGAGGCAGTGAGATAATTATAACAGGGATTTCTTCGTCTACGTGGCAGATAAGTGCTGATCATGCACAAAGGCAAAAACCAACTTGCTCTGACTGGGCGGTTACGTCAGAAAGTATGGCCTGAGCTCATGGTTGTAATGTCAGTGTTTGCAGTCTCTGAATCCTAGCACACCTGCCCCCTTTCCATCCGAGTGGGGTTGTCTGACCGAGGAAAGAAGCCCTGTTCTCTGGGGGTACATCTACACTAGCCCCCTAGATCAATCTAGGGAGGCTAATGAGGGTGACCAGAATTGCAAACCAAGCCCGGGATTTAAATATCCCACGCTTGATTTGCATGTTCCCAGCTGGTCGCCATTTTAGAAATTGACTAGCCCGAAGTAACTGCCTGCGTCTACATGTGGCAGTGAAACGGGATTCCAGAATAAAGCCCTAAATTGAATTAGGTGGTATACATCAATTTAGGGGCTTTATTCCGGAAGCCCATTTCACTGCCGCGTGTAGACACAGGCAGTTACTTCGGGCTAGTCAATTTCTAAAATGGCGACCAGCTGGGAACATGCAAATCAAGCGTGGGATATTTAAATCCCGGGCTTGGTTTGCAATTCTGGTCACCCTCATTAGCCTCCCTAGATTGATCTAGGGGGCTAGTGTAGATGTACCCTGGGTAAACTGGAGGAGCAAAGTCCAGGGTATCCAGCAGATATACTGTTTGACAGACACGCTGCTAGCCTTGGATGTATTTTATTTCATTGGGTATGTGGGGAGGGAATTACATCGGCCAGGAAGTGAAAAGCTGGCAGAACTGGCTAAACCTTCCAACCTAACCAGCTTCATGAAGACCCAACTCAGAAGTAGCAAAGGGTTCTTATGGAAACCTCTCGTGTAAAGCTTCCTACGGCCACCAAGTAATATTTTAGATGCTGGAAGACTGTCTCTGGCACACTGGAGAAAAATTAGATTAGGAGAAGTTGCACGGCATGAAAAAGTGATTGAACTTTCTCACAGAACAAGATGGAGGAAGCTGGGAAGCCTTCTTCAATGGCACAGGAAGAAAGGAAGGGATTATATTAATCCTCAGACTTCCGATAGCTCTGCCAATGCAATTTATTCTGCTGTGTAGTACCCCCTGCTGCTCCAGGCGAGAGTCCCTACCAACTGCGCTGTCAATGCATTTCACTTGTAACCTGCAGCGTGCCCTGTTGTTCCTGGGTCCCCTCAGCCCTGGCTTGCCTCGCTCCTAGCTGTCACAGCTCCAAGCGTCTTCGAACCAGAGGCTGTCAATCATTTGGGGGAGATTCATGATAGGGCCACAGAGCCACTAGGGACTAAGACAAAAGATTTGTCTAAACCAGGGGTTTTCAAAGTGTGGTATGCAGCCCACTAGTGGTCCATGGCTGTCTTGCAGGTAGGCCGTGGGCTTGGGGCTTGCCCCCTGCCTCCAGTGGGGAGTCTATGTTAGTGTTTCACCCCTGCA